GATCAGTTTTAATATTGACTATTAAGTGATTTAATGTTGAATTCATGACTTTCTACGCTATTTTTGCATGTGATACAAAGAATTACATTCAACATTTGAAAAAAAAAAATTCACGTAATAAAAGTAACAAAAATAGAGACGAACAACCCTATTAAGCCAATAATTAACTAAAGATACAATCCACGGGAAAGCAAAGTAGGTGTACGTTAAGAAGTCACTGTTTAATTTTAATGAAAATAAAATAATGTATTCTTAGAATGACGCCAGAAAAAAAACAACTTTTGGACGTGTTATTTTTTACATTAATTTAATACTAATGATTTCACGTAACATTGATATGATGTTCCAACTGACTCCTCATGGTCACAATGAAAACTTTAATTACCAGGGTGGACCATTGTTCTTGTAATCATTTTCAATAATTAGGTTATATTTTCAACAATTTCTCAATAATAAGTTTTACCATTTTTCTTCCTGGATACTCGATCCTGTTAATTATTATTTTTCCTTTGCTTCCTCGTTTAATCATTATACCATTATAGTCCATACTATTCTCATCATGTCAAACACCAGGAAACCCAAACTAAACATTATGTTTATATAAAAGGTTTTGTTAACTGTAAAAGAAGAGCTATTAAATACTTTTAATTAAGAACATTTTATGTAATGAAATTAAGTGATTTTATTATTATACTTAATAACATTTTAATTAGAAAATATTTATTTCAGTTATCAATTCTAAGGACGTAAAAAATAATTTAAAAATAGTAGTAATTTTAGTCATGACACCTAATTTGATTCATATAAAAATCAACTATAAATAGATTTAATAAATTGAGTTTTATTATATAAAATTTATTATTTTTCTCTAAGTTTTTTTTCTTAAATTTTATTTTTTTCTATTTAATTTTCTAAGTCGGTTTCTTACATGTTTAATTTCTAGAGACCATCAAAAGATTCAAAATAGAAAAGACTACAACAAATATGAAATAGAACAAATTAATTTTTTGTTTTATTGTTTGAGTTGATTTAGCATTTTGGAAGGATTCATGTGACTCAAGATAACTTAAATGAATATATATTTTATTGTGATCATAATGATATGTTTACATTTATTATCATATGTTTGTGTTGGTACTTAGAACATCTTATGAGATCTAAAGCTCTTAGAGCAGCTTTGATTCAAGGGTGTTTTCTACACTAGGTAAGGGAAATCAGTTTTAATTTATAATTTGTACTAATAATTTATGAATTCTAATGAATGATGATAATCAATGAGAAAATTGATTGTGTGAAATCTATTCAAAATAATGAATTTACATGCAGAGAACAATTTTTTTAATGTATGAATGATTTGTGATTTTTGTTGTTTGCCTTGATATTGCATGTGGACAGATTTGGTGTCTTGATTTAACATTTTTAGGGTATTTGATAACTAAGATTAGTATTGTTCATGTTTTCAATTGAATCTATGGAGTAGTGTTTTGGCCCTTAATAAGTCATTTTACCAAATTGGTGTTGTTTGACTTGATTATAGAATAAAAAAGCTTAGAAGCCAAGACACCATATCTTATGCAAATTTTTTGTCTAAGTTATGCAGACTCATTGGACGAGCCAAACTCCCCTTGAGTGACTGTTAAATTCGAGTTTGGTAGAGAATTAAGAGAGGTTAGCTCATTGTATGAAAGCCAAATTTTTGTTTGGCAGGGAGAGAAAAGGAAGGTTGGGTGGTTGGGCAAGTTTGCCTGATGGACGCATTTATCTGTATTTTGCTCTAGTGCTTGACTCGCTAAGCGAGCCATTTAGTCACTCAGTGATTGCCTTTCCATAGGTCACTCACTAATTGAGTAATTGGGCTCACTTAACGAGTAACTGAGCTTGTTGAGCGAGCGTAACAAATTTCTTTTCTAAAATGTGATTTGAATTATGAAGAACTTGTTTAGAAACTAATATATTATGGAAGAATGATGCATATGATTGGAAGTAATTGTATTGTTATTTTGGTTTGATATGACTTGAATGGAATGAAAAAGTAGTGATTCCTAAGGTGGGAATACTACCATGTATTGTCTAATTTGTTAATCTCAACTTGTGTTTTTTTTTATAAAGGAGGAGCTCTAACTTTGACAAGTGAAAACTATTTTTCATCTCACAAAAGTTGAAAAAAAATCAAATAAAAATATTAGATTTGTTAATTCATTGTTAGTTTTTTTTCTTTAATCTCATTGTTTATTTTAATTACCTTATTTTTTTTATCACTCATTCTTATTATCTATTTTTTATTTTCTTTGTTTGCATGATGGTTGTTCCTATGTCTATTTATTTCATGTTATTCACTATTTAAATTGTTATTGTTACATATTCTTTATCATAATTCTAAATTGATATTCTAATACCAGTTGTTGGGTCTATCAAGAAAGAGGTTTACTGGGGAGATAAAACACTGATAAGACCTGAGTCCAACCACATAAAGAATTGACACCACTCTATATCCAAAACCTTAAGACAATGAGTTAATGGGTCTTCATCTTTATATGATGCTCTACTTTGTCATTTCTATTCAATGTGAGGTTAGACTCACATTTGGATTCTCAACACTATCTTAGCTTCCACGAGCTTTCCATGGGGGATTCCTTCACTTTATTCTCTAACTTTCAATCATCGATGCCTCTTTCTTGATCAGTCATTCTACACTTCATCAAATTCAATCACTTCTTATTTGGTTCACTGTATTCTTTTGTTACTCCTCCTCAAAAGAAAATGATAAATATTCTATATTTTTCATCTTTATATGAATAATTGAGTCAATTCACTTAATCCATCAACTCGTGATATATTAATCTAGATTGTAAAGTTTCTAATTCACAGGTTAAATTCATTCATTTTTAACCAAATCAACATTAGTGCAGAAAGGACTTTAGACATATGTTATTTTGGGCTTTTAACGTCTGATCTCTGTCCGACGTCTATATGGGTGACATTAATGAGACGTTGGACCCAATAGGTCAGACGTCTATATAGACGTCCGATCCATACAAGTCATACGTCTATATAGATGTTTGACACTATAGATCAGATGTCTAAAACGTTGCTGTATTTTATTGGATCTTTTTCTGCTTGAGCCCTCTCCGGTTGCTCTTGGCTTATGGCGATTCGAGTTTACAACTTTATATTTTAGTTGAAGAGAATGTATTATACATTTTTTTTGTATTGAATGATTTTAAAAACGTAGTGGAGAGAATTGGAGGAGTGCAAAACGCAAGAAATCGCCGCCCAAGAACGCTGCCCAAGAACACGAGCAAAACTACACCAAAATCCAACGAAAACGCATTTTAATCGGTTCAAATGAAAGATAATGCATCAAAGAGTGATGTAATCGGAGTAAAATTAATTTAAAACGGTGCAAAAGAAAGAAAACGAACCTTAAAAGCGTAACCCGTAGAGAGAAAACGTGAGGAAGATGATGAACATTAAGTGCGCGTAACTGCTGCCTTGCGTTCACGGTGTTTTAATGCAGCCATATAGAAGTCGGTTACCCCCACATCAGACATCTATATGGCTGTAGAAATCGGACTAACGGGATCAAATGTTTAAATGGAGTTAAAAAGTAACTTTTTAGATTTTAAAAATGAGTATATAAAAGTTGATTCCCCCCACATCAAACGTCTATATGGCTGTAGAAGTTGGATTGGTGGGATCAGACGTCTAAAGGGAGTTAAAAAATGTCTTTTTAGATTTCAAAAATGAGTATATAGAAGTCGGTTCCCCCCACATCGGACGTCTATATGGCTGTAGAAGTCGGATTGGTGGGATCGGAAGTCTAAAGAGAGTTAAAAAGTGACTATTTAGAAGTCTAAAGGAATACATTTAATGTGATTGGTATTAAATAGAGTTTATCTGAAGTTTTTGAATTGAAATTTGCTAGAAAGCTGAGTTGGTGATGTTACGAAAGTGTACTTGACAACTTTTGGAGAATCTGAGCGACCATTTCTCCTGTGGGTTAGTTGGGTTTGTGTGATTTTGGTCAAATTTGTGGAGCCCTCTTTCAGAATCGTATACATAACTAATTACCTCTAATTTTAATTTAATGCATGTGCCTTGAGTATCATTATAATCAAACTAATGTGACGCTTGGATCAGCAATTTCATAAAGACTCAGAAATAATTACAGAAATAATTTTAAAAAGTTATGATTAGTTCGTATAAATAAAAGTTTTTATAAATGAGTTAATTTAGTTTATAGATAGGCTACTTTCATTTCTTTTTTTTAATTTTCTCTTATAAAAAAGTTTGATGTTTATGGCCTAACTCAAACATATCTTAAAATATAGAAAATGTTTCTCTTGAATATTACATGGTTTTCTTCTTGTGACAAATAATAAATTAATTGTTGACAGAGAGCTAAACATTTTTTATGATCTAAATCTGGTTAATTTGTTTTTAATGATGTTTAAATATTCTTGTTAAAATTAATTAGTTGTTTAAATATATTAAAATGTATGTAATGTAGAATCAGGTTATTAACTTATTGCTATATCTGTTACATATGCTGATTAAGTAGTATGTTTTCTGTTTTAATCTATTAAATTTTTTATTTAATCAATTAAAATCGTTTAATCAAGAAGCTAAACTCTCTATTTTAATCAATTAAGTTATTCACCCAATCAATTAAACCGTCAGTGTTATGTTTTTGTTATATATATGGATTTAGTTTATTTTTCAAGCACGAACGACATTACAAGAGCATTCAGTTCACAACTGCAATAAAGGGAAATGACACCGGTTAATTTCGTTTATAGACACCGGTTCTGCAACCGATTCATATACAGGCGAGGTAAAAAGTCTACCTTTTTTGCCTCGGTTCTGAACCGAGACATAAAGATATATGCTTTTGCTTCGGTTATTTTAACCGAGCCAGTAGAGAGTGTTTCTTTTTTATTCTGCTAGACTTTGGCCTCGGTTTATTGTTGAACCGAGTTAGTAAAAGGGTTTATTTTTTTTTAAACAAATAAAGCAATGGTTGTGAGAGTTTCGTGTTTATCAAAACAAATTAATGATGTAGGGGCTCCCCAGTTGACGCCAAGTACAGCTGGAATAGGTTGTGGAACTACATCTGTCCACGATTGATCAATTGTACCAGGCCATTGGCCATCAGCAGCAATAGCACCAGGATTATAGTCAGTGATGGCATAATCACCAGCAGGAGCTTCCTCCTCCTCTTGTTGCTTAGCCTCCTCTGGTTCTCTACAGAAGAACAAGTCCACCTGCATCAAACAAAAGATTAAGAAAACAAACTCCTTCAATATCCTCCCAAAAATCTACCTCTCTCTAAATTATACCCAATAAGCTCATTAACAATGCCACTAAGAAAAGCAGACCAAGAGAATACTTACCATAACATCCCATTTGAGGCTAGGACGAATGGTACCCCTCATTTGCAACACCATCCTGGCAAGAAGCCAAAAGAGACACCCAATGTTGTGTTTGGCAGGAATCCCAATGTCCACATACCTCATGGGTGAGTCAGTGTCACAGAAAGCAATGGTTGGAATGTTTCCAAGAGCACCTTCCTTAATGGGCTGCAAAAATAAACCCATGTATGTTAAGATCACAACGCAGGCAACATCAAGGAAAGAAAAACACGAAACAAAAAACCAAAAAAATCATCATCCCAAGAGGTGTTGTCCGCAAAACATTGATCACAAAGCAAAAATATAAGCTCTCACAACCATCTTAGGCCTATAAGGGGTACCCGAGGAGAGGTGGGAATCGATGGTAGTTGAACTTGGCAGAGGTGGGAATCAGTGATAGAAAGAACAGGGGCGTGGTACACGAGGGTCTTCTTCATCCCCGCGATGCGGTCGCCATGGGCCACAAGGCGGTCCTTTCCAGTAGCCCTTCTCGGTGACGCGGTTGGTCCTGAAGCCATTTCCATACTTGCGGTCCATCACGCTGAAGAAGTACCATTCCAAGTCCTTCGTCTTCAGCTTCGACAGAGCTGAAAAACAAAAATAAGTTAAAAAACACTTTGAATCCTTTGAACCAAACCCTATTGCTAACAATTCGACACCACAAAAAAGGGAAAAATGCTAACGGGGAAGGTCCCAAGGCTCGAGCTTGTAGACATCAACCACTGCGATATGTCGTATCGGGACAGGTTTCCGGTGATCTTGCGCTTCAGGTTCAGGTAGAACCGGTGGAATCGGAAGCCGGGACCCATAGGTGCCATGGATTGGATTCAAGAGAGATGAATCGCTGAGAGAGAGAAAGAGTGAAAGAAAATTGGGGATTAGAGCTTTTCGGTGATCTTGCGCTTCAGGTTCAGGTAGAACACCACCAGCTCTTTGTCGATGCGGTGGAATCGGAAACCGGGACCCATAGGTGCCATGGATTGGATTCAAAAGAGATGAATCGCTGAGATAGAAAAAAAGTGAAAGAAAATTGGGGATTAGGGCTTTCGTTTATGATTGATGAAGAGGGAGACGGTGGCAGTGAGAATAGTCGGTGGCGGCGATGTCGACAAACGACGGAGACAACGACGGCGTTGGACGACGACGCTGGAGGCAGTGAAGGTGAGAAGAGAGGACGTTCAACCGTGAGAGGGAGAAGTGGAACAGTGGATTCGCGAAGAAGAAGCAATGAAGCAATGAGGAAGCAGCAGCGCGAAGAAATGAACAAACTCTGATAATTTTGAAGCTCTACAGTACCGGTTATGAACGAAACGATGCTTAAAATGAAAAATCTGAAGCTTATNTGTGATTGGTATTAAATAGAGTTTATCTGAAGTTTTTGAATTGAAATTTGCTAGAAAGCTGAGTTGGTGATGTTACGAAAGTGTACTTGACAACTTTTGGAGAATCTGAGCGACCATTTCTCCTGTGGGTTAGTTGGGTTTGTGTGATTTTGGTCAAATTTGTGGAGCCCTCTTTCAGAATCGTATACATAACTAATTACCTCTAATTTTAATTTAATGCATGTGCCTTGAGTATCATTATAATCAAACTAATGTGACGCTTGGATCAGCAATTTCATAAAGACTCAGAAATAATTACAGAAATAATTTTAAAAAGTTATGATTAGTTCGTATAAATAAAAGTTTTTATAAATGAGTTAATTTAGTTTATAGATAGGCTACTTTCATTTCTTTTTTTTAATTTTCTCTTATAAAAAAGTTTGATGTTTATGGCCTAACTCAAACATATCTTAAAATATAGAAAATGTTTCTCTTGAATATTACATGGTTTTCTTCCTGTGACAAATAATAAATTAAATGTTGACAGAGAGCTAAACATTTTTTATGATCTAAATCTGGTTAATTTGTTTTTAATGATGTTTAAATATTCTTGTTAAAATTAATTAGTTGTTTAAATATATTAAAATGTATGTAATGTAGAATCAGGTTATTAACTTATTGCTATATCTGTTACATATGCTGATTAAGTAGTATGTTTTCTGTTTTAATCTATTAAATTTTTTATTTAATCAATTAAAATCGTTTAATCAAGAAGCTAAACTCTCTATTTTAATCAATTAAGTTATTCACCCAATCAATTAAACCGTCAGTGTTATGTTTTTGTTATATATATGGATTTAGTTTATTTTTCAAGCACGAACGACATTACAAGAGCATTCAGTTCACAACTGCAATAAAGGGAAATGACACCGGTTAATTTCGTTTATAGACACCGGTTCTGCAACCGAAACATATACAGGCGAGGTAAAAAGTCTACCTTTTTTGCCTCGGTTCTGAACCGAGACATAAAGATATATGCTTTTGCTTCGGTTATTTTAACCGAGCCAGTAGAGAGTGTTTCTTTTTTATTCTGCTAGACTTTGGCCTCGGTTTATTGTTGAACCGAGTTAGTAAAAGGGTTTATTTTTTTTTAAACAAATAAAGCAATGGTTGTGAGAGTTTCGTGTTTATCAAAACAAATTAATGATGTAGGGGCTCCCCAGTTGACGCCAAGTACAGCTGGAATAGGTTGTGGAACTACATCTGTCCACGATTGATCAATTGTACCAGGCCATTGGCCATCAGCAGCAATAGCACCAGGATTATAGTCAGTGATGGCATAATCACCAGCAGGAGCTTCCTCCTCCTCTTGTTGCTTAGCCTCCTCTGGTTCTCTACAGAAGAACAAGTCCACCTGCATCAAACAAAAGATTAAGAAAACAAACTCCTTCAATATCCTCCCAAAAATCTACCTCTCTCTAAATTATACCCAATAAGCTCATTAACAATGCCACTAAGAAAAGCAGACCAAGAGAATACTTACCATAACATCCCATTTGAGGCTAGGACGAATGGTACCCCTCATTTGCAACACCATCCTGGCAAGAAGCCAAAAGAGACACCCAATGTTGTGTTTGGCAGGAATCCCAATGTCCACATACCTCATGGGTGAGTCAGTGTCACAGAAAGCAATGGTTGGAATGTTTCCAAGAGCACCTTCCTTAATGGGCTGCAAAAATAAACCCATGTATGTTAAGATCACAACGCAGGCAACATCAAGGAAAGAAAAACACGAAACAAAAAACCAAAAAAATCATCATCCCAAGAGGTGTTGTCCGCAAAACATTGATCACAAAGCAAAAATATAAGCTCTCACAACCATCTTAGGCCTATAAGGGGTACCCGAGGAGAGGTGGGAATCGATGGTAGTTGAACTTGGCAGAGGTGGGAATCAGTGATAGAAAGAACAGGGGCGTGGTACACGAGGGTCTTCTTCATCCCCGCGATGCGGTCGCCATGGGCCACAAGGCGGTCCTTTCCAGTAGCCCTTCTCGGTGACGCGGTTGGTCCTGAAGCCATTTCCATACTTGCGGTCCATCACGCTGAAGAAGTACCATTCCAAGTCCTTCGTCTTCAGCTTCGACAGAGCTGAAAAACAAAAATAAGTTAAAAAACACTTTGAATCCTTTGAACCAAACCCTATTGCTAACAATTCGACATCACAAAAAAGGGAAAAATGCTAACGGGGAAGGTCCCAAGGCTCGAGCTTGTAGACATCAACCACTGCGATATGTCGTATCGGGACAGGTTTCCGGTGATCTTGCGCTTCAGGTTCAGGTAGAACCGGTGGAATCGGAAGCCGGGACCCATAGGTGCCATGGATTGGATTCAAGAGAGATGAATCGCTGAGAGAGAGAAAGAGTGAAAGAAAATTGGGGATTAGAGCTTTTCGGTGATCTTGCGCTTCAGGTTCAGGTAGAACACCACCAGCTCTTTGTCGATGCGGTGGAATCGGAAACCGGGACCCATAGGTGCCATGGATTGGATTCAAAAGAGATGAATCGCTTAGATAGAAAAATAGTGAAAGAAAATTGGGGATTAGGGCTTTCGTTTATGATTGATGAAGAGGGAGACGGTGGCAGTGAGAATAGTCGGTGGCGGCGATGTCGACAAACGACGGAGACAACGACGGCGTTGGACGACGACGCTGGAGGCAGTGAAGGTGAGAAGAGAGGACGTTCAACCGTGAGAGGGAGAAGTGGAACAGTGGATTCGCGAAGAAGAAGCAATGAAGCAATGAGGAAGCAGCAGCGCGAAGAAATGAACAAACTCTGATAATTTTGAAGCTCTACAGTACCGGTTATGAACGAAACGATGCTTAAAATGAAAAATCTGAAGCTTATATGCTTCGGTCAGAAAGGAATCGAAGCCGATGAATGTTTTGGCACCGGGTCTAATTTCACCGAGGTGGCAGCTTAGGCTTTATGCCTCGGTTACGTGGGAAACCGAGGTAGTATCACATTTTCATAAAATTGTCAGTCAAAAAGTTTGAACTCGTATAACTTTTTTATAAAGTTGACATCTTTTAGGCACCTGTTCTGCTTGTAACCGAGGTTGTAACTCTGTTCTGCACCGGTTCTGCATACAACCGAGGCCTATAAGGTCCAGTTTATTACAAAACTGCCACCGTCTTGTGATAGGCAGCGGTTTGGTGTAAAATGAGGTATATTGTGCGAGTTTAAAAGCAAAAATTGTACTAGTGGTTATTGAGAAAGAAAATCATTCAAGCATTTTTGGAGAGCAAAAACATCAATTGGGTGAAATCATGACATCAAGCATGCTAGCATAAGTGGAAATGGCTAAAGAGTAACAATTCCTAATTTCTTCTATAATACATGCACCAGAGGTGTATTAGCCTCTTCTACTTTTCTTGTAAATTTTGATTACTAATGTGTACTTGTTGTGTAGGCAATGTTCTTAGTGTGAGTGTGTGTAGCCTCACCTTAAAAAGTTAATTTTTGTTTTGTTAAAGATTCAAATTACATAGGAGATCTTGTAAGTCTATAATATTTACATTCATATAGTGGACTTCCTTTCAACTAAGATCACGTGGAAAGAAGATAGGATGTAAGCTCTTTGAAGTTGAACCATAATAAAATCTTGTGTGTCTCTTTTTATTTTCTTTATTAGTTATTTGTTAAATCTTTGAAAAGATTGAAAAGTTCATTTAAAACAGTTTAATATACCAGAGATTTTTAGGGTTGGGCAAAATAAACTAATCCGTACTTAACTATAGTTAACTGTACTGTATAATACTAAAAAATACTAATCCATTTTTACTAAAAACTTAAATATACTGTTTTATAGTTTAATTTTTAAAACTGAACTGATCACATTTTTAGTTCAGTTAACTTGTCGTTGTTGCTGTATCGACTGTCGAGGGGCCTGTCTTGTTCACTGTCATACCGAC